TGTGCCAGTGATGAGGAATTTTGTTAAACTGCCCTTTGCCACTTGATTTCTTCTTCAATTGGTTGTAAAGGAACTTGCATGATTTTCTCACAAAAATTGCTTTCTTCTCACATCACTGCAAGCTTTTCATCATGTTTAATAATAATATCATTTCGTTGGTCTTGGTCTATTTGCATTTGACGTAATTGGTCCTTCTAGCTCTTACTACATTACAAATGCTCTCAAAAAATGGGTCTGATAAGTGATGTGAGTAAAAAGTAATAATTTGAAAAGTCATTAGTTATGGGATTCCAAGACTCACTTCACACATTGCAAGGACTTATCCAATTTTTGCTTCTTGCTAGGTTTATTTGACTTGGTGAATTGATGTTTCTCTGCACAAAAAAAAAGTTAATGACACTATCAAAAATCAAGCCAGGTCATGTGTTACTAATTTTATACAACTCACTTACTAGCATCAACGGGTGGTTCTATGATAACGTGAATGTGTTTTTTTGCAATAAGAAGCAGGGAAGAAGAGCACAAGAATAAATAAGTAATGGCACAGGAAAGATGAAAAAAATTAAGTTGATTAAATTTTTATACTCAATTCTGCGATTGCTGAAGCCGGTCCATATGGCAGTTTGAACGGGTCAAATTCATGAGTAAGTTCTTCTCTGTTTAAACGAAGGAAGGCTTTACCAGTGACCCTCTGACTATATATCACACTAATATCATTTTCTTCAAGTTCTAATTCAGCTCTGTTCTTTTGTAAAAATTCTTTAACATTATCTCGACTCCATCCTTTCACTACTTCGGCTGTTGGGAGATTAGAGAGGAACTTGTAACATTAGACATGGTTTTGGAGCTGGGGTGTGTATATATATATCTTAATATATTAATATATTCGAGAAATTGATTATCACACAAATTGATCTGACTAATCAGTTAATAAATAATTCGATCAACGACAAGATTTTTTTCGGCTTCGGTTTCTGGATTATGGTATTCATGAAAAGAAAAACAGTTCAGAACGTAACTATGATACTTGGGCATCAACTTACAATTTACATGATTGATCTTTTGATTAGCCCTATCTATCGGAGGAATTCAGTTACTCTATGATCATGTGAACTTGAATTTATTGCTTGCACAACTTAGATAATATTTATCATTATAACTCTTCATCTGAATATGCCTAACCTTTAATTATCCTACGATTACGACCCTTTCACATCACATGAAAAATATATATGCGTAATCGATCACCAGAATCAGCTTTATTCATCACAACTATAAAAATAAATAGTTGAGCTGTCTTCTTAGATAAGACACATTATAAAGTAAACCATATTAACGATCAGAATATAATAGATTCTTTATAAATTTTCCCGCAACTTATATCCCAACAATATCCCGGCGAATCTTTGTTATCAGAGTACATTACACTCGTCAGAGAAACTCGAGCTAAAACTTGAAGAATTAGGGGTAGGAGTTATGACGAATTCACTTAAACAATCTGGAGAATCAGAGACTGGCACGTAAATGTCATTGTTTTGCAAGTAAAGTTTGGTTAATACATCTACCTTAGCTGGAGTACCCGCCTCAGTTTTCGAAGTTACTACTTGATTTTTCCCCGTTTCCGAAGTTATATAATTTTCTGTTGTCGAAATTTTAGTTACGTGCGCGTTTTGATTCTTCGCACTGACCACTTTTGGGAGAAAAAAAATTGAACGTCTATACTTTGATATAATACCTCATTTACACAGATATGTCTCGCAAATCTAAGAATAATAAACAATGCAATACCGAAATCTAGTTAAGTATATTATATACACATCATGGAAGGTGAAAATATAATAGGAATAGCTAAGATGAGTAAAGTATTTTCAGAAGTTGCTTGGTGTTGACATATTTAACTTGTGATGGTTATAAATACATTGAACAATTATTGAAGGAAGGATTGACATCACTTTTAATTATATTTTAAATATTTTTATTATGATTTTTATTTTTGCCATCCATTTACACTCTTATATACAAAGAAAAAGTTTAAACATTTAGTACCTTTATTAAATCAAGGACCGTTGACATTACCATTGATAAGAACATTCCAGATGAACATGCTATCAATTTAATTCAACAAACCGATTTTTTATCAATGCTGTTGGAATATATTCAAAGCATTCGCAGGTAATTTATTATAGCAATATTATTTTATTTGGTTGTAATCAACCTGAAATTTTAGTTAATATTAAAGTGGGATTATTCCAATTTGATAATTAAAAATTTTTTAGGCAGTTTATTGTTTATTGAATATAGTATTTAATGGTCACATAAGAATTATTATCAGGCAAATAAATCGATCGACTATTAGCCAATTAATTGAATTGATCAAAAAATAGTTGTTGATCTTTCTTGTAGGGTTTTATCACCTCAAGATGTCGATTTATTTTTTTTAGGATGACAAATATGTTGGATTACTTTTAATTAAAAATCAAATCATAGTCATATACTATTATTATTAGCGTATTTTTTTTATCTATTTAGGGAAAAAAACCTTATTAATCAAATTTACAGACGGAATAGATGGATTAGAAAGTGTTGCTACATCAGAAGGTCAAAATTTACGTAAATTAGCTAGTCAATTAACAGATCAATATTTTGACAAGGGATCTACTTTCCAATGACAATAACAATAAGGAAACAAATGAATGAATGAATGAGGCAAATAAATGATAGTATGTGTAAATTTAAACCATTTTCATATTAGATTGATATATAATATATATTACATTTCAAATAATTTTTACAAAAATTTTTTTAATTTTTATTCTATTAATTAGATTATTATTGTTAGATTAGTGGTAGTAATAGTAATATTTATTATTATTATTATTATTATTATTATTATTATTATATTCTATTTGCCTTATTCTGGAGCATAAGAAAATAAAAATGAAACTGATTCACCATTATGTGTACGTCGAATGGCTTTTTTTAAAAAAAAAAAGCATGTTAATAATTATAATTATTATATTTAAATCAAACCAATCTATAAACAAAAAAAAATCACCTTCAGATAAAGTGGAAGAAATATTGATTGTGTCAATTTTTGAACAAATAGCTTTCTTGTCATCATGAGGTATGGTATTTGTTACAACCAATCTTTCTAAACAACTTTCATTGATAACATCAATTGCTTTACCAGACAAAATACCATGTGCAACAATTGCATAGACTTTTATTGCGCCATTTTCTTTTAATGTTTTAGCAGCTAAAACCAACGTGCCACAAGTATCAGCCATATCATCAACTAAAATTGCTATTTTACCTTTAACATCACCAACTAATACCATTCTTGAAACTTCATTAGCTTTTTTTCTTTCTTTATGAATTAAAGCAAAATCCAAATTCAAGCGATCTGCCATTGAAGTTGCTCTATTCCAAAGAAATAATTTTAAATGTAAGTAAATATATGTAATGATTTTATATTTTTTAAAAATATTTGTATAGATTACCTTTTTGCACCACCGGCATCGGGTGAAACAATAATAGCATTTTTATAATCAGGAATATTAGTACTAATATATTTAAGCATGGAGGGTTCACAATATAAATTATCTACAGGAATATTGAAGAAACCTTGAATCTGGCTTGCATGCAAATCCATTGTGATTACATGATTAGCACCAGCAACTGTTAACATATTTGCAACTAATTTTGCAGAGATAGGTGCTCTTGATTTGTCTTTTTTGTCTTGTCTAGCATAAGGAAAGCAAGGAATCACTGCCGTTATTCTTCTTGCAGATGCCGACTTACAAGCATTGATCATGATCAAAAGTTCCATTAAATTATCATTGATTTCTCCGCATCCAGATTGAATAATGAAAACATCTTCATCACGAACTGATTCACCAATGATAACTGAGGTTTCTTGATTAGAATATTTTACCACTATTACTTTTGAAAGATCTATACCTATTCGACTATTATTATTATCATTTATATAAAGAATTTATTTTCAATCAAAGTTTATTTTTATATATAAAATTTTTTTAAAAAGAAAAATTTACATTCTTACCGCGCTACAAGTTTTGCAAGATCAATATGTGAATTACCCGTAAATATCTTTATGGAATTCGTTGACATTGGTAAATATGTTGCTAGGTGTATATGTTGAAAAAAAATCGGTTAAAGGCTCCACAGCAAGTTACATAAAAATAAATAATAATAAATAATTAAAAAAAATTTTTTCAAGATTTTTCAATAACAACAATTACCGAATTAAGTAACAAATAATGATGATTGTGATGATTAAATGCGATCGTTGCTCAATTATTATTATGTAATCCATCGAGAACTGACGATGCAACGAATCCTTTCTTTGACAGATCACCATTATGTCTGAAACCAAAAATTACTCTAGTAATAATTCAAGTATATTTAATGATAATGAATGAAATTCAATATCGAGAGAATCTTATAGAGATATTGATAACCAAGCAGCTTTATAATGGAAATTTAGAAGAAATGTTATTATGAATAAAATGTTTTCTATTAATGATTATTATAGTAGAAAGAAAACATCATTAACGAATGAACAATGGCATGAAGAATTGGTGATTTGTTAAAAAGATACAAAAACTTATTAAAATTTTTAGGGTTAAATGTATATCATTAAATATTGAATTTCGATATTAACAACAATAGTAGTGTTTTGATGCACACATATAATCTTGATCGTGGTGTCAACTGACAAGTAATTTATTATATTAACAATTATTTATAAAAATAACTCTAAATCCCATCGTTATTGACAGGCGAAGGAACTCTCCAATCTTTAAATCATAATTAAACTTTGGAATCAATTACAAAGTTGTAAAACTTCTAAAATATGACAAATAATTTAAATTTGTCTTTTTTTTTCTTTTTTTTTTTTAACCGAGCGAGTCCAACATTTAATTTGCCAAGACTTTTTTTCCAATATATCAATAGTCTAATTAATTCTTTGAAAATTTTAAAATAAATTATTCACTAAACCTGATATTGTCTTTTCATTGTTTCCTTGTAATTTTTCAAAAAACTTATTAAGCATTGTCTAAAAGAAGTGAATGATAAATTCTATTTTAATTATTTCAATTTTAAATTTATCTTTACAACGCCACGAACACTGTCACTTAATATCACATTTTAAGTGTCTCTATTTGGAAATAGTGTAAAAATTTTTTATTTTTTTTTATTTATCTGTGAAAAATCTGAAATCAAGACAAATATACAATAATATAATTTCGAAAATGTCTTCATTTAACAATAACATTAATAAGATTAATAACAACAATGACAACAACAACAATAATTGGCGCCATTCTTTGAAAGAGGAAGAGCGCAAACAAAATGTTTTGCGTTTTTACAAGGCCTTGGAAATCTTTAATAAAAATCCAACTCATGATCAACGTTTATTAGAATTAGTCAGGAAATGGGAAATTGAAGCTTTTGAAAAAGCTACTTCTAAAGAAAGTTATGAGCACTTCAATAGTGAAAGATTGAAAAGCTTAAACAAACAAATTCAAGAAAAACAACAACAAAATCAAATTATTATCATGCAACAACAGCAACAACAACAATTATATTTACAACAGCAATCACAACCTAACTTACAATTACAACAACGACAAATGTTACAGCAACAACATCAATTATTGCAACAACAGCAACAGCAACAACAAAATCCACAATTACAACAACTACCACAGCAACAAAGTTTAGCTCAACTTCTTCAGCAACAAAAACCTGTTCAGATTCAATCACAACCTGTTCTTCCAACTGTTGAACAACAAGTTGCTCAAGTATTTAAAAATCAACAAATTCTACAAAAAGCTTATCAAACACGACCAGATTCTTTGACTCCACAACAAATGGTTTATTATCAGCAATTATTAAGACTTCAACAAAATCCTTTGCTGCAACAGATTCTTATACAAAGACCACCTACTACTGTTGTTCATTCTCAATTAGGACATCTATCACCGCAACAAAATGTTTCACCTCAACTTCTTCACCAATCTCCTAATTCTAAACCAACATCAAATCAGCAGCAACAGCAACTTAATAAGCCTGTTGCCTCTAAAATTAATCTTTCACCAGAGGAATATATTAAATTAGATGCATCAAATAAACAAAGGGAAGATGCTCAGAAAGTAGATGATGATACGATTGCAAGTAATGGTGGTGATGTTGATAATGGTGGTGGTCTTGGCATCAATGAAATGATAAAAAGAATGACAAAAACTAATCAACAAGCTTATCTTGTAAAAGAACAAACACCAAAAACATTTGATAATAATGATTTAAGTTCTAACTCCAAACAAGTGGCTAACAATCAAAAATTCATACCTAGTGAAACTGCACAACTTTTGGCTCAACCTATTATTTCACCACCATCACAACAACAACAACACAATCTACAATTGATTAATCAAAAGATTGAGAATATTAAATCTGCAAATATGGTTCACCCACAATCTCTAGTTCATCCTAACAATATTAATATCAATACTACACAACCAGCATTATTATTTTCTCCTAAAGCAACAAATAATTCTATAACTCAACAACAATTAAATCAAATTGCCAAAGGTCAACTAATCCAACCACAATCACAGCCACAACAACTGATACAAAAACAAGTACCTAACCCTGTACATTCTCCAAATAATATTAATAATAACAACAACCAAAATACTATGAACTCTACAAATACAACTGCCAATAATAATACTTTTGCTCATAATCTTATAAACCAACAAAACAATAATAATCCTGCGTCATATATCAGAACAATCTTAAATCCTCAATTAAATCCTGATTCAAATATAAATCCTGCTCCCAACTTACCAATGCGCATACAAAGACAGGTTAATCAAAGAACAGTTGTTCAACAACTCCAACAACAACCAACAAATAATAGTAATATAAATAATGTTGCCATACCTCAACAAACTCGACCACTGATAATCTCTCAGCCAAACATCAAACAATCAAATCATAGTCTTTCTATGTCAATAATAGGTAATAGTAGTGATAGTGGTGGTAATAATGACAATAACAGAAATAATAATAATAATTCATCAAATGGTGGCACATTTCAGAATATTAAACCAGAAGAAGCTGTTGTTGCTATTGAAGAAATTAGACGGCTTGATGCTAAAGCTTGTGAAAAAAAAATACCATACCGTGAACTTTCCGATCTTAGTGATGACGAGAAAGCAAAAATTCGTGAAAAATTGGAATTATTAAAACCAATGTACAATGAAATTGACAAAATACTTCCTTACTTTTACCATTATACTAAATCTCAAGTTGGTACACACAGACTTATCATAATGAAACACATGATTCGTGACCAATTAAAAGAATTACCTGGTAGATATTTTCTTTCATTGAAATCTGTAGAAGATTTGTTAGTGCATGTTAACAAATACTTTGTGTTTGTCGAAAATAGAAGAAAAGGCATCAAGGAAGAATTAAATTTCACTGCTACAAATAACTCGACGCCCACCAATGTTCCAAGCCAAACCATGCCATCTATTACACAGAAAGCCATTTCACTAACTCTTCCAACTCCAAAGCATTCTTCTGATGCTAATAACAAGAAACACAAACTTGATAATGAACAAAAAGAAGGTAAATCTTTTGATTCATATGAAAATTTAAATAAAAAAAGAATGCTGGAGAGTCATGTTACTGATAGGAATGAAGTCAAATATAATGACTCTGAAAATACCAACACCAACAACAATAATAATATTGACTCTGGTCATGATAACGCGCCTGAAGATTATGATAAGGAGGCATCGTTTGAAGATATCCATGAATCACTAAAAGATATGATGAATACACTTAAAGGTATTATGGATACTGAAAAAGCAGCTGAGGAAAGCGAAGATAGTCTTCTTCCTTGTAGTACATGTGTGGAAATTAGTCCTGACCTCGTTTGTATTGGCAAGACCTTGTCGAAATCTGCTTGAATGATACTTCATCGAAATGACTCGTTAATTGTTAATTGGTGCTTTAGTTGATTATTTTATCTATTTTGTATATATGAAAAAATTTAGTGTCATCTTTTTATAAAAAAAATTTGTTCTTTTATTTGTTTGGTTTTTGTTGAGCTAATTTTATATTTATAATAATAATGAATGAATTTGAAATTGGATATTGTAAATAAAATTTCTATTCTATTCGTAATACTAATCGAATTATTCGTAATGTAACAATCTTGATTCAAATTACTCGTTTTATTCGTTTTGTAAAATATAAAATATTAATTCGCAGCTTGATGCAACAAATCCTATATTATTGCTGTTGTTATTGTCAAGAGATTTTAACTATTTATAAAATTATAAATAGGGTCTTATTTCCTTTATAAATTACAATAATATAATTATATTTATAATCTGCATTACTACTATAGTTACTAGTATTATGACTTAAGAAAAGAAAAGAAAAATGCCCTTCTGCTGCCTATAGAAAAAAGTATTTAATTGGATTAGCAATGTGCATATATTATTTATTACTAGTAACCTATGAAGTTTGCGGGTATAGGTTACTACTACTGCGGCTGGATCAAATTCATATTTTTTGTCAGTGAATTATCGATCAGTTAAATCAATTGATTGATAAAATTTTTAATGTTAGTAATATATTACGGTCAAATTACATTCTTTTTTCTAATGTTATTACAAGCCTTAGGAACAAGTTATATATTAAACTTAATTTTGGTCTGGGTCAAATCATATAACAAACAGGAATTTATGTTACTGATTCTAAATTGATTATATGTAATTGTTGAAACTGAAACAGATGGTTTCAATTACTTTATAGATGAAAGGAATTCATATATTAAAAAACTTCAAAATGCCAAAATTTTAAAGAATTAATGAATTTTTGGTAAGATGGGGTGCAGTGTGTTCATTCATTTTTAAAATTTTTTATGCATTATAATTAAATAATGGATTTTATCAAATAGGGCATGAGATAGAAGAACATACAATCAAAACATGATAATCATATATTAAGTGCTTAGCATATATCAAATGGTGAAAGTTATCTAATGATAATTACTTTCAAAGAATTAATGGTGATAATTATTTAACTTCTGATGAATCAAGCATTGAAGACATATTTAAACAGTTCAATGTACCTTTATCCAATGTAATATATAATGAACAAGATGATAGTGTTTCACCAGCAACTGCTACCAAATCATCATCAATTAGTAATGATAATAGTAGTATTACTTCAAAGGCCATGTTAAACTTGTAGCATTACTATGGCAGGGACTGATGACTTGTAATGAGATTTGTATATGTAGTGTTGAATATGGAAATAGCTTAGCTTGTTTATTGCTGATGCTGGATATGATGTTTGGTTTGGTAATTCATGAGGAGATAAATATTCAATGAAACATGTTGAATATCCAAATGATAGTAAATTTTGGAATTATTCTATGGATTAATTGATTCATTATGGCTTGCCAGACACAATTAATTATATTTTAGAAGTTATTGATGCAAAGTCACTCATTTATATGTATAGGATTTTTACAAGGTTCAGCACTATGTTTTGCCACATTGTCATTACTACCAGATATAAATAAAAAAATTAATTTGTTTATAGCTTTAGCACTTATAACAAATCCAAAAGTATTTTAATACACAAATTCTTTAATTTATTTAATCTTTTATTTATTATTCATTGATTTTTTTTTATTAAATTTATGAGTTTTGCAAAATTTCTTGTTAAATAGTTTGGTTAAATTATAATATATTTATTGTTTGGTAAAAAATCTACATTGTCAATGGTAATATCCAGGAAACAACCTCAATATTTATGAAGATAATTGATATATTACTTGATTGGGATTGTGAAAATATTTCAGAATTACAAAAATTAATTGGATATTATCATTCACTAGTGTTAAAAGTTTAGCCATAATAAATCTTAATAATAATTTATATATATATTTTTTTAAAAGTACATCATGGAAAATTTCAGAAGTTTGAAGACCCTTCCTTTCACAGTAACTCTATTAATCAAGATTAGCATTATTTTATGGTGGCAGAGATAATTTAATAAATATGGAAAATTGATTGGTTGAGTCCCAAATTTGTATCACGTGTCAATTGAATTCTCAACACCGCTTGATGATTCTGATCTTGTAAAAAGTGATTATAATTAGTGATGTTAGCCGGCTAATAATCTGCATGCATAATTTCTAAATTTGGTAATAGATTTCTGAGTTACTTTCTTGTTATAGAAATCAAATTACCAATTTAGGTAGTAAACGGCTTAGCCGGCTAAGGATTTTTAAACGGCTAACATCACTAATTATAATAACAGCATATATGAACTATATATACACTGTTACCAATTAAAACTACTTCTTTTAGTAACTAAAGTTGCCCAGATACTTGAGGGCAGATTTAATTTTTTATTGAAAAATTTATTCAAGTCAAAGCACATCATATTTTATTTTACAACTTGAAATGTCTTTCTCTTTCAACATTTCCATTTGTTTATGAGTTAACTCATAGTCTTCAGTTCATTTACAAACTGGTAATTCGGAATTTGTACAAGTGAATTAAAGCTGGCCTACAAGCCAAATAATTTAAATAAGTTCACAAGCTGGCTCATGATGAGCTTAATATGAATCAATCATTTGTTTTAATAATAATACCATAGGATATATATTTATTCTTATCAACCTTTTCCATTTCACTTAAAATAATAACAATTATTGTCAATTGTTTACATAAATAGATGTGGAATAATAAAAGAAAAGGATATTAAGAAAAAATTATATAATTACCAATAAATTCATCACATTTGATCATTTGGATTATAATTAGTACTATAACCTAAATAAGTAAGTATATTTATATGTGTGTGTAAAAAATGCCTTTTATATTAGTTATTAAAAATAATAATAATGTTTACCTGACCCAGTTTCACTAGTGCCATTTACAACAATTGGAATAACTGGAATAACTGGAATATATCATTTTGGTTCAATGCTTTGTCATATTCATTCAATTCAAGCAATTTGTCATCATTAGGGTAAAAAATAATTCTTGTAAATGTAGCAAGTCTCATTTGTAAAGTATATGTGTACATATGCAGTATATGTTTTGTTTTAATTTTTTTAAAAAATGAGTACCAAATTATCCTATAGTAGAATAAAAGGTTAATTTCATCATTATAATATGCAGAATACTCCATATTATAACTTGTCAATTGTAGGATACACAAGGAAGTTAAAAAAGACCACGAATAATTTAATTAATTATTTTTATCAAGGGTAGACATAACACGTATTTTACTATCATACCAGTGGATAATTTGTTTGGCTGCTGATCATTAAGATGGGTAAAGTGGATAACAAAGAAGATAAAAATTAGAAGGTCAATAGTAAACATCTTACTAAAATGAGTTTTTGACATAGCCTTGTATGAGGCTAATAGATGACCCTTTTGTGAACAGCAGCAAATTATCATAAGATTTTGAATCAAAATTAGGTGATAAATTTCATCAATTCGTTTGGAGCTTATTCAGCAGATATTCAGTGAATAATCACGTAAGCACTGATTATATAGGATGTTATATTTTAATTGACTAATTATCTGAGTCTTGATTGACCAAGTAAGTACTTGAACACCTGGGTAATCAATGAATATAACCACTACAACCACTCATTTAAAGGTCTTAAGAAAACAGTATCAGAAGCATTGGAGTCTGCTCCTTTATTGAAAATAAGACATCACATATGAGTGCCTATAGGCTAAGTTTAACAGGCTTTGTTTGATGTAAGAAAATGTAAATCCTGACCGGATATAATTTTACATATCACGTGATTTGAAACCTTTAAAGATAGCCTCCAAAATTGATGTTTATAAATGATGTGTGCTATATAAATTTTCATTTTATTTTTGATTTTTTCCATGTCAAGAAATAATTAATTAGATTTTGATTTTGATTTTGATTTTGATTTAAATTTCTTAGTAAATTTAGGTTTAGATGATGAAAATGATACTGAAGATGCTGATAAAAGTTCTTTTTCACCAACTAGAGGCATTGAAACTTTATTTTTTTGTCGCCAATCATTAAATCTAAAAATAAAAGAAATTTTAATTTCAATTCAAATTAATTAAAAAAAAATAATTAATACATAAACCTAACCTTCCACTTTTATAAGTAGCAGGTAACTTTACACCACTTTCAGTTTTGATTAATTTTTTATTGTCAGATCCAATACCACCACCTCGTAAAAATGTTTTCTTTTTACTGTTCCATGTTAAAACCTTTCTTTTGTTTAATTCAGGAACATGTTCATCATTCTGTTGATCTAACATGGCTCTTTGTGCTTCCTCAATAAATAATGCACCCTGGTTCACTGAATAACTAAATTATAATAATAACAATTATTAATAATTTTTGTTAATATTATTAATTGTAAAGATTAAATCATAAATACCCTTTTTCTGTGTTTGCATCTTTTTGATAATGTGATATATAATGTTCTTCATCGCGATAATTGTCAATTTTTGATTTCTTTGCTACATATATTTAGAAAAAAGGAAATTAATGATGAATAATAAAAACATATGTAAAATAAATGCTTTTAGGTAGCATACATTTTTTATCAACATCACTGTTAGCCTTCCGCTTTGATGTTTTTGAATTATTCTATTATAAAGCAAATAAATTTAAAATTTTTTTACAAAAAAAAAAAAATTTTTTATTTATTTTTTACATTATTTTCTTCTTCCTTCTTAATATCAAATTCATCAGATTTTCTTTTTGAAGAAGCATCATGACGTTTCTTCATAATTTGAGCACCCATAGATTGTTTATTTCCTCGACTTCCCATTTCAAATATAGTCTATAAGTTTTTTTAGTGGAAATTAATTAGACATAAATTTAAAATGTACTTGCACACATTTAATAAATGATTAACCTCATGTGGACGAAAGTTTGATATTTTTTTAATAAGATTCTGACATTCTTTTTCATTTGGATCAACTTTATCAACTATTTTTAATAAAAAAATTAATTATTATTGACAAAAAAAAATAGCAGATTGTGATCACTAATATATGAGAACCTAACCAAAAAGAGGATGAACTTCAGTGAAAACCATTTTTTCAACAAGCTCCTTAGTTCTTTTATAACTTTCTGAGGCAGCTATGGGTTTTGATTTGCAATACAACTTGTATCCATTTTTGGCAACCTTTTGAAGTGATTCAAGGTTACTTTCACCTTGCAACTTTTCTTTGACCCATTCCAAATGTATATCCAAAGAGCCACGAGGAAAACAACCAAAAATTATATCTTTGGTATAATCCAATGAGGAAGCATCATAATCTTCATTCTTCATGCCAATTATCAAACGACGGCTAAGAAAAAGTTGTAAATCTAACAGATATGGAAACTAATAAATTAAAAAAAATTAGATATATATATTGTACAAGTATCATTATAAAATTAAAATTATAAAAATTAATCTGCAAATACTTCATCATGGGTAATTAATGAATATGCCCATCCACTTCTGCCAGCTCTAGCAGTTCTTCCGACTCTGTGAATAAATACTTTACTACTATTAATAAAATCATAATTGATCACATTTTCTATGATTGGGATATCAATTCCCCTGGCCGCAACATCAGTCACCACTAATAGATTGGTTTGGCCATTACGAAAATTACTTATTTGAATTTTTCGAGCTGTTTGATCAAGCGAACCATAAATATATGAAGTTTTGAATCCAGCTGAAATTAAAAGATTCGAAATGTATTCAACATGATGTTTTGTTGAAACAAAAATTATTGTTTGATGTGATGATGACAATAGTAATTCCTTTGATGCGGATTTTGATTCTTGATTTTTTTGTTTATTTGATTTTTTTTTCAGATTACTATTATCATTATTTTTTATATTAAATATGGATTCAGTTGGTACTTTAATTATCTCATGTAATGTATACAATAATGCTGCTTCTTTTTCTATCTGTTTTACTGAAAAGAATGCCATCTATAAATTACAAAAATTAAATATTACATTCCTGATATAATATAAATATAAAATACCTCAAAAAATTATAAAATAATGATACCTCTAAATCACTGCTAATCTTGGTATCAGTATCCAGTCTTACTAAAGTAGGATCTTGAAGACCTGCTCTTGCAAACTCTACCAGTGATTTCGGTAAAGTAGCAGAGAAAAGTAATGTTTGACGTGTATGTGGTAACCTATGTAAAATCTCATGTAGTTGAACAGAAAAACCCATTTCAAATAATCTTTAAAGTAATTAAATATATATGTATTAGGATATATATCAAAATATAAAATCATATCAAATATTAATATAAACCTATCAGCTTCATCAAAAACTATATATTCAACTGCACCAAGTTCTAAATTCATTTCCACAATTAAATGAAGTAAACGACCTGGAGTGGCAATAATACTAATGATATAATAAGTTTGATTATATCATTAATCTAGATGATGTATTATAACTCCCCCAAATATTTAAATGCTTACACATCAGGGTTCCCGAGAATCATTGAAAATTGATCCTCCAGGTTATCACCTCCAACCAGAATACATGCCCTAATATCAGTGTATTTTGCAAGCTCTTTACAGACCTTTTGTGTTTGTAATGCAAGCTCGCGTGATGGAGACAATATTATAGCCCTTGTTCCTACCTAAAATAATTAAATAATTAATATTTTGTTATTGATTAATAAACATATCTGAATCCATGCATGCATTTTATCTTAAAATACCTTTGCAGAATGTATCTTCAATTTTTCTAACATTGGAATTAAAAAGGCAGCAGTTTTCCCAGATCCAGTTCGAGCCATACCAACAACATCGTTACCTTCCATTATTAAAGGAATTGTTTTGCGTTGTATAGGAGTTGGAACTTTGAATCCTTTTTTCAATACAGCTTTATATATAGGGTAACTTAATCCTATCGTTTTATTATAAAGTAAAAAATTTATTGATCAATCAACCAATTTTTCACGTATATATTGATTAAAGAAATACCCATTGACTGGAAACCACCGGATTTTTTCTTTTTTCTATTGTTTGCTTGTATTTGCTTAGAGATGAATGATTTTTCATCATTGTCAGAAAACGATGAATCTTGGGTAGTTTGAGTTAATGAATTAAATATATCTAAATCTTTATCGTCTTGTGTCATCTTTATTTTTTTTTATTTAGATTTCAAAATTTTTTTTAAATGATCCTCGTTACTAATTTAGTAAAAAAGAATGCACTTCTTATTACCAAAAGTAATTGGTCCATTTTTGTATAATAAAAGACCGAGATGGACCGTCAGTTCTCCAGTCCTAATTACATGGAGCATACTGCAACAAAGTAAACATTTCTATAGTAAAGACAAAATGTTACCAATCTTTGAGTGCTGTTACTTCACTAAATATGAGCTATTTTGCCAAAAGTTTTTTAGTAAAAAAAAAAAAAAAGTTTATGATGGTTAAGTTTACTATTACTATGTTGTTGGCAACCATCTAAACTGCAATTTATCAATTATTCATGTGACCAAGTCACAGTTCTTTACAAATTGAATTTTGCTATTGTTTCCATATCCATTAATACAGATTCCTATGAGATTTATATTGTTGTACATAGTAAAAGGAATTCCAGCACCTGAAAATAATCAAAAATTAATACAATTAAAAAAGACAGCTGAAGAACTAGAAGAAATGTTAGTGGAGTTGATTAAGAATAAATGTCTAATAACAGATGAATATAAAGATGGTA